TCATTCTCATTATTTACAGATGCCATATACAGTCTTTACATCGAAGGACGCATTTGACACGAGGTCGCACGATCAATTCACCTGGGTAAAACCAAAATCGCCAGTGTGTACAAAATTTCGGCGTACGTTAAAAACCCGTGGTGGTCCAAGCTAATCCGTGGCGCTCCTCGTCGGCCAAGCCTTCGTTCGGCGTGTGAAAACCCCCAAATTTCAACTTTGAAGTTTTAACGACGGTTCACCCTTAGCGAAAAGTCGTTCAAAATCAGTACACTCCAAGTGTACTGAAGTATACTAAAAGTATACTTTCAGTGCGGTCTTTGTACTGATTGTATACTTTAAGTGTACTTAAAGTATACTTCCAGTAAAAATGGCGGTGGACTGAAAGTATACTCGTCCGTACAAAACTAGTACATGTAGTAGAATCGTAGTGCCCGCGGTAAAAAGTAGTTCAAAATTAGTATACAAGGAGTGCACTCAAGTGTACTAAAGGCTTACTTTCAGTGCTTGCAGTCGGCGTACTCAAATTATAGTAATGGGTATGTATATAGATATAGATATATATATATATATATAGTGCGATTGTTAACATCAACACACTAAAAACGCGATAGATAGGCCCATGCCGTTTTCACAGAATATTTGTGGGGCTCGGTGGACATTAGATGAGTAAATAAACGTCACAGTACGTTACCTAATTAGCTTTTTTGAATTGACAATGTAATTGACCATGTTGAATTTTCAATTTTAAAGGGGCTGTGAATGAACTCTAGCCCAACTGAAACAATTTGCGAAGAGGTGACGAGTTTTGGGTTATTCATAGCTATGAATAACCCAAAATAATCCGGTGTTTTTGTAATGCAGGTCTCAGCGTACTATACGCTGTTTCGGATATCGGCATCAACAGCAATCAAAAAGACAGGAGGCAAAAGAAACCACGGCTAATAATGGGGGCATAAGACCCTCCACCTTGCATGGCCGCATGCAGCGCAAATAAACTCCAGAACCGCGTAAGCGAAGTGATGTTATGAATGGAAGCTCGCTCTGAAATTGGCTGAAGAAATCGGCGCCTTTATGCAACAACCTCAAGCTTTCACCGAAAGTGTTTCATGGTGTAGATTTATCTTGCAAAACTCTAAGGACATCTCAATTCACGTGAAAAGAGATTGACAATTGCAACAACGAACAACACCGTCGATCGAGATTTCCACACTGTAAAAAATCGACGTAAATTCAACGTGTCTTTCCCTCGTTAAAAAAGACGGGCACGCTCATTGTTTCAAAACACGAGGTTACCCTCATTATTTATGTGCCGCGAGAGCCGATCCTTCCAGAAAAGCCGAAATACCAGCGGTGCGAGCATGCGCTGATGAATCAAAATAGCCTTGGCGACAAGGGAGAAATTGCTTGAGATAGTTTCGGTTTTACACTAAAAAATAAAACCGAACGTTTAGATAAGACCTAAGATAGACTAAACGGTTTGTTAATTTTTTACGAATATAATAAAGTAACATTATTATTATTAATATATTGATTTGCATAGTTTTTTCTTAAAAAAAGAAAAAAAGAACAAAAATAAGAGACTTTTGAAAACTGCGCAAGACCATCGCTATTGCAATCAGCTTCCGTTCGGCCGCCGTTGGAGTTCCGGAGAGTTCGAGCATCACTTCCTTTTTACGTTTTAGCCGTTTTTGCGGATATTTTAGATACCTTACTTACGAATACCGTGTTCAATAATAGCAAGCGATTACTGAGAGCTGTGAGACACAGCGTCGCAAGTGGCGGATAGTCATGGCCGACTGGTGCAAGCGAAGGTGAGGAAGTTCCTTTTGTTTCTGCGAAGTGCGCCGCTGTTTCAAACTTTGTCTTGTACCGTGTGCTTGCTAAGCTATGCTGGACTCTCACTATACTCTACCCGGTTTTATTTCGTTATTTGAAAAGAGCGTATCTTCAAAATTTATGGCTCTCTCCGCAGAGTGAGAAAGATTCGCGTGCGGCGGAACCGAGGGCCTGTCCTGGGCGCCGTCCCTACGACGGTCGCCCGACGACGCTTTTGCGGAGCGTTCAAGTACAGTCTGACGGCAGTTCAAGCAATCACAGGTCATGCTAGTTCTGAGGTGTGGTTCCGACAGTCTCTCGTCAACGATTTGTTTCATAAAGCGTTAGCGTGAAAAACGTTACAAGAGCGAGCAGCATGATTTCTTGCCCGTGCTGATGCCTGTGCCGTAGAGACGGACGATCTCTGCGTATGCCGAAGCGGCACGCTTTCCAAGTTTGTGATTTTGTGTTGTGAATAAAGTGAGTTTCTATGTCACGTTTTTTAGTGGCGGCGAAAGCCGCTACAAAAGGCAGAGCAGTTAGAAAAAGCAAAAGCATGAAAAAAATGTTAAAAGGACCTGAATATTCGATGGAGTTGAAAGACTACCAACTTACCAACTCGCCCAGTTATTCTTTGTCAAAGAATAATAGCCAATACTAATATATTAAATAAATGCCAACTTTTAATTGGTTAGAAATTTATAACTGATGCAGTACAGCCCTACCCTGCTCTAGTGCTTTTATGATATCAGATAATGTGTAAATATATAGGATAGTTCATAGCAACCATTTATGTCCGGCCCATTATATTGAATATTTTCTCTAAAAGCTCGAAGTTATATAAAAAAGTACTTATCATAAATCAAGCCGCACCACTGAATGTGTAATAGCGTATGACTTGTATGTGTGTTCACAGCAAAAGAAAAGGGGGCATTAAGAAAATGCCAATCATTTTGTTTGCTCTGTGTTAGAGCTTCTTTCAGGTATCAGGTTTTCTGAAACGATATATCCCGATTTTCCTCGCCCTTTTGTCAGGATGAAGTTTTTACTATCTTGCCTTCCTCACATAGTGGTCCTTTGAGCGAATTATGTGATGTTATATCATAGAGTGGCCATAGGCTAATTTTCTCTTCTCTTTTTACGCAGGATGTAATGGCATACCATCATCACAAAGGAGAGTGTACAGTGAGGCAGGCTCGGAAACTTGAATAAAGTGATAAGTAGGATTCCAATTTCTGTCTTATCAATTACGTGAAGAACACTGACCATAATATTTGTATGCTACACATACATACTTTCAGTTGAAAAATGCAGTGCACCTCTTCTTTATGGCTTTTCTCACACAGTTTCAGAAGACGCCGGTACGTCATTCTCACGAGGAATAGAGCTGCCAAAGATTTCCTCGTTAATTTCCTGACTCATTTTTAAGAGTGCATCTCCCGGTGGTGGCGCCTCTGCATTATCATCATCAATTGAGTTGTCAACGGCGTTTCTTAACATTTCACGAGAATGGAGCTGTATAAGATGAAATTTCACAGGTTGGAATACAGCCGTTCAAAGAAACACCTTTGAAAAGTCAGCTTTTTAAATGCAGGCGGCGATTTTTCTGGTCAATTTGAGACCGTGCTTTCCATTCAAAACGCCCGACATACACGGCGTCCCAGATAACTTGCACCATACTTAAGAAACACCGGAGGGCTCTGCAGGAGTGAAATCAACTGTCGTTAGCAAGTGTCTTGAGAAAGTGCACACATTTTTTTAATAGGCCTGGTTATGTAAATAACAAAGATTATTGAGCTAACCTTTCGAATATTCTTTTAAGGGCCAAGATGTTAATTGTAAAGTTGCCGGGCGCATTGAGAAACACCCATTTAAAGTGTTTGAAACATAATACGTTTTCGTGCTTTTTTCCGGCCTTCAAAGCACGCACATTCGCGGCGCGCTCGCACGCCGTGATTGGGGAAGCGAGTTGTCACCCGGTATTTTTTTGTGTTTCGCGGGCGTTTCTTTTGAAGGCTAGGAAAAAGGAGCATGCAAAGCGCACCTTGTTGAAAATTGTTTAATTGGGTGTTAATGCGCTCTACAACTCTACATTTCACACCTCGGCTTTTAAACGAAGATTTAAAAAGTTAGCTTGTTACTCTTAAGTAAATAGGCGCACTAAAACAATTTCGTGCACTTTCGCAAGATACTTTCTAACAGCGTGCAGTTGGTTTCACTCCCAAAGAACGCTCCGTTTTTTTTAGTTTTTTTTTTAAAGTTTGGTGGAAGTTATCTGGGACACTCCGCATATATGTACTGGTAGTGTACATTTAGTGCACTAAGATCATACTTGTAGTGTACTAAACGTGCACTTATAGTATGCTAAAAGTACACTCGAGGTGCACTTATGGTATACTACATATGTACTTGGGGTGTACTAAAGGTACACTATTTTGTTTCATAAAAGCGTGAAACTAGTACGGTTTCAGTACATACCCTAAGTTCACTATTAGTATACTTTCAGTATACTTTCAGTATACTGATTTTGAACGACTTTTCGCTAAGGGCACCTACACATTAAGCTGCAGCCTCCTACGCTCACGACAGAGAACGTCAAGGACGTCCTCCGGGCGGACCTCAATGTCGCGATGCACATTCAAGAGAGCCAGTCCCAGCAATCGGTCGTTTGAAGTCGAAGACCTCAAATATGTCTTCAAGCGACGCAGAGATGAGAACGAGCGCTCCGCTTCTGCTGTACTTACAGGCAAAGTTGCGAGAATTTTAAGGAGACGGTGAACGTTTGGAAACAGAGCCTCCGGACAAAGTGCGACTGCCTGTAACGCAGATGTGGCGGGCGTTTCGTTTTTCGTCCTTCTGCACTTAGTCGCCCATACAAGCAGCTCCCCTTGCAGTTCCGAAATCGAAACAAAGCTCGAGTACACGGCTGAAAACTGCTCAGCGTCAGGAGGAACGACAGCGCAAGAGATGTTTTCTGGTAGAAGAGAGGAAAGCAATTCTAATGTGCTCCGGTGCTTTTTGAACCGGTCGTCTAACTGAGTGATCAGGTGATCCAAAAAGGGAAGGAAAAGTGAAAGTCTAAAATAGTCCTCCGCGTCGATAGCCGGTGTGTTCTGGCGGTGGCGCTGCCGGCTCGTGACTCGCGGCATTCGAATCTCCACATTTGCTGCCTCGGCCATGCTTACGGCGGCTTGGAATACCGTGGAAAACCCGGATTGACGCAGCGCTTGCACAGCGGCCTCGACGTCATCGACATGACTGAGGGCGCCGATTACGTCGAGCGAGGTTGTTTGGAGCTGCCTGGAGAGCGGCAACGTCAACGAAAGCACCTTTGCGGCGATGTTAATGCTGACTATGAACGTTGGCGTCACGATACATGCCAGTAATTGGTGGGCCTTCGCAGACACCTCGCCACCACCAGCCTCATCCTGCAGAATCTCAAGTGACAACACAACAGCTTCGTAGAGCTCCACAAAGGTTTGAACGGCCTCGTGGCGTTCAACCCAACGAGTTTCACACAGCGCTAAAAGCCGCCGCTTCGTCGTTTGAGGGTGCAGCTCCCTGATCTTTTCCTTGAGAATGGCTGATCTACGTGCAGACCTTCTAAAAAACACGCAGACTTCCTGCACCACACTCAACGCGTTACGCACCTCGGGGACACTACACGAACAGCAAAGCGCCAAGTTGAGCGAGTGACTTGCGCAATGCATATAGAGGGCTGCGGGGTGTTCTCGTTGGATCACAGCTTGGACCCCGTTCAGGCGGCCGGACATGTTGGCCGCACCATCGTATCCTTGGCCGCACAAATAGGTGGCGTCGACACCTTTGTCCCTAAGAAGCCTCATAAGGGTCGAAGCGAGTCCTTGTCCAGACAGGTTTGTCACCTCCACGAATGCCAAAAAGTCTTCATGTAGCTTGTCGTCCAGCAGGTACCGCACGCAGACAGACATCTGCTCGGTTCCTGAAAAGCGTATGCCCCATCGTCAATTATACAAGATTTACAACAAGCTTATGCTTTCTTTCAATGTTTGCACAGAAGCGCATATGCTGTGGGTGTTAAGCTTGTATAGTGACTTTAGTAGCTACCAAGCATTCAGTACAGCATGCCCCTGCCACCTAGCAGGTAGGATAGCGTCATCCCATAACCCTTTCGAGAAAAACGATCGGCGCGCCGTCGACGAAGACAACGTGCATGCACCGAGGAGCAACGTAGCCTTCGGTGCGCTTACCGTAAAGTAAAAACAACTCTGCATGCGGTCTTCACTCTCCCCTGCTTCCTTCTGCAACCACGAGGGGAAAAAAAAAAAAAAGGTTTCTTCCACCGTGGTAGCGACGAACAGTTTCACCAGGTTTCACCGTGGCGGGGGCGACGCGGACGTCTCCCAAATCTGGTGCTCGAAACGCGTTGCGCGCGCTAGTTACGAAGTTGTACCGGGCAAGTACGACGACTGCCGTAACTGTGCTGTGATCAGCGCGTCAAAACGCCTTTGACCGCGTCACCCCTTCGGACCGCGGACGACGCATCGGGAGGAGTCTACGGACGATTCTACGGGTCCCAGTGAATATTGGACTTCGTGAACTTGCTTTCGTAGCGAGTCACTCTCTCGTTCGTATTCACTGTTGAATTCTTAGTTTATTTCCTTGTGGTTGTCGATTTTCGTATCATAGCCAGAAGTTTACAGTTACTTTGCCTTGCAGTTGACTTGCCTCGAATGCCCACCGACTCGTCACTGGGGGGATCGGTGGCCGAGTGGGCTAAAGCGCACACCCAGCTCGACGCGCGTGGAGCGAAAGCTCGCGCTGCAGAACCCAGGGAGCCTGGGTTCGAGCCACACCCCTGCCCGTTTCGATCTGGATGAGCATCGTACCGGCGTGCGGTCGCGTATCGCTACTGCGTGGTGCACGTTAAAGACCCCAGGCTAGCAGTCGTACTACACTGGCGAAATTGCCCATCTACAGTGTACCCCTACTGGTAGACCGACCTTACGCTGTATAAATCACTAAAACGTCCAATTTGACTTTGACTCGTTACTGGTAATCGGAAAAGGGGACGTTCCTCGGCGGAATATGGCAGTTGTAACAGTGTCCACTGGGTGTCGAACCGCAAACGGACGGGGAAGACATGCCGTCTCATTGCCTTTGGACGTAGTTTAAAGCGAAGCAAGAAAAAGGCGCGGGGATATTTAAACTTTTTCTTGTATTTTTGTCGTCGCGCTTACCTACTACGTACTCGCCTGCACTCACCCTTCGCTACTTTTTCACTTAAAAAAATATAACTGCTATATCTTGCGTGACTCGTGCTGCGCGAAAATTTTCTGGTGGCTTTCGCTAGAGCAATCTCAGTCGGTAGTTCTACATTGTTTAAAGGGGTACTCCGGCGATGTTTGGGCTACCTCAACTAATTATATTTTCTGACTCCCCGGCCTTTACCCTTTGCGGTATGCTATTTAGTATCACGAAATTCATAATAGTTATTGCGAAAACGGCAAATGAAAATGATGCAAAAACCAACATTCAAATATACCCGCACTTTTCAGTGCCGTGACGTCAGTGGAGAGCAGGCTTGCCAGTCGAGCGAGCAGTCTAAAAAATAGAATATGCCAATCATTTGTTCCGTGCTGGAGCGCGGGGACTGGAGCGAGCTTCCAAAGCATTCATTTGACACCATGAAACTGCTTCGAATCAGTTGGGAACAAATTCTACAGTACAAAGAGTGAACCCGGCACTTCCACTGACGTCACTTTTTCGTTGTTGCCAGTAGAGACTCTCAGTTTGAAAAACACGGTAAGGTCCAAAATTGTAAATTCAATAACTTCGTGAAAAAAAAATTATTTTGACACAATATTTGGGATACTATTTTGGCGATGTTTGGTGAGTTCAGTAAAATTTCAAGCAAATCGGGAACCATCAAGAAATCGCCGCAGTACCCCTTTAAGAGATGCGTGCCGGAGAGCTCTTTAGTTTGAAATGAAGTATAAACAATAATAATAACATTTCTTACCCGAAATGTCTGTTGTTTCGTCCGCAAGCAGGGAGAAGCACTTCGCGCTGTTGACTTGACTGACAATGGTCTGCTGAACCAGAGTGCTGCTCGCCACCAAGATTTCGTTTTGTATTTGCGGGCTTAGGTACGTCGCATTGCCTGGTGCTGTCTCCAGGTGATCTCTGAGAAGATCGTCCCCGCTGCGAATTTTCAAGCGCACCAGTGCACGAAAGTTCCCGTCATTTTCGAAAGGGTCCTCCAAAGTGAGTGGTCCGGCGTCACGGTGTCCTCTGAGAGCTATGCCTTGCCTCCCGCAAAATAATACGAGTTCTATTATTGATATGAGCTTCTTCCGGTTCGTCTGCCTCTGCACGCGAGCAGCGGAGTCCATCCTTTCCTTCACTGACTCTCCTTGCACGGCTTGTACGAACTTGTCGGCGTCGAGAACGGCCGCCTTGTGGTATTCGGTCTCGCTGTGTGTTTTGAAGGTCTCTAGTGCGTTTTTCCAACGCACAAAGGGAGTCAGCACCAAGCCGCCGAGTTTCTGATGGCTCCCTTTTCCTGCCCAAAGAGGACACAAACCTTGCACAGAGCTCCCTCTTGGCCTTGGCATCTCGAGTACACCAACCAGGGGTACTTTTCTGTCCACTGAGTCTGGAATTTCAGCTTGCGTTTTCCCAGTGTAGGGAAACAATACTTGCTGCCAGGCTTCCAGTGGATTGTGAGTAATCGGCGCCTTGTCTCGTCGTCCCTGATCTTTTGACGTTTTGGACCGGTCAGGACGTAAAGTCCAATGTCATTATCGGAAACATTGCTTGCTTCGCCCGCGACGTCGTCGGAAACGGTAGATTCAGAGCACGCTGCTTTGTGGGTCAGTGTTTCTGCTGTGGACATAGCAGCATCGAGAGTAGCAGCACTACTTTCTTTTCTGAAAAAGTGGTCCAGCGTTAACTTTGGCCGCTTTGCTAAAGCCATTCTGGAAGAACCTTGCGTCCGCAGACATGGGTTGAGAATCTCTACTGAAGCCGCGGTGAGCCCGTTGGATCTGGAGGGCCTGGAGCCCTCTCCAGCGGCTCGGGCCAGGAAAGGAGGCACGGGAGCGGGAGAAACAAAACCGTGCCCGGAAATCGGAAGATCTGAAGACAGTCTGATTGGCCGAAGCATTGGCGCGAAAGTTAGCACGCCGAAGCGCTGCCAGGGACCCCGGAACCGGGGGAGGGGGGGGGGGCGTGGTGGGCAATGAGGCCTTGAGCACCCGCTGACATTTTCCAGGGGTGCTGGCAATATGCTGAGACCCCGTGCGTGCGTACCGAACAATACCTGCAGCCCCCCCCCCCCCCCCCCCCCCCCCGTCCCCCCTGTGTTCCCGCAGTAGCTCAGCTCCGCCAAGCCACGTACTTTGCTAGGGGCAAGCACGTGGCTCTGTTTTTGTTACGGCTGGTTACCCACCGGATCGCGGCACAACCTTCGTCCGTGAAATCAAAAAAAAAAAAAATTACGAAGGAAAGCAATGTGTCAGGAAACCGCGGACGACGCGGCAACTCCAAGAACATGGGGAGAAAAAGTAAAAGCCGGCGCCTACGGCCTGCATACACTATCATGGAGATCTCCTCTCTTCCCATGTGTAGGGTTGGCGGGAAAGAGGACCTTCGAGAGGTAATAGCTTTTAGACCCCGCCAGCCTTGGTGCTTTCCAATTACGGGCTCCCCGGATGTCTCATCCAGCTTCGACGACTTTTCGGATGGCGGCATCGGTCTTTGTGCTTTGTGTCGCGAACCCCGCTAACCGCAGAGCATGGCGTACCGCAGAGCAAGTCGCCGTCCCCCGCGCGGGGGTGACAAGGGCCCTTGCGGGCAAGGTCACTAGGTCGGGAGGTTGGGGAATGCCCAGGAGCGGTAATTGAACCCACAAGCTCTGTCTGTTCGGTGCAACGCCTTAACGGCTAAGGCGCTGTCTGGACCAGCAGAGGTTGTGAACTCCTGGTTCAATTTTGCGCAAACTGTTTCCCCTTTGCTCTAAATAGAAAAATGAAAAGTCGCCCTTTCCACCCTTCATTTTATATCGCGGAACTCGGAAGCCCTGGTGTCACTCTACAGTTAACACCGCAAGAGCGGTTCCCGCTTGCAGCGCCGCCAAATAAATATACGTCGGTGGAAGCGATCGCATTTGAATGTATTTACAGGGTGTCCCAGTTACTCAAAGTAAGCTGAAAAGAAAAGGGGGAATGCTCTAGGTGAATGAAACTAAAGGCCCGTTCACACTCTTGCGACTGCTTGCGACCTCTTAAACCTGGGTTCCTTAAAACTTATTAAACCAGAGAACACACTGGCGCCATCTATTGGGAAGCAGTGTAAACTCGGCGGTCCGGGATATTTGTTTTTTATTTCTCGCGCATTATCCTTCCTTTCTTGGCTCGAAAAACTTTTGTCAATGTTATAAACGAGCCTTTTTATGGGTATTACGCACATTTGACCTCGGAAATCCCGCAAAACCTTCGCTTTTGTGAAATGCAGTTCTAGGGTCACCGCATAGATGGCGCCACAATGTCAGTGTGTTCCCTCATTCTAGAAACATTTAAGAAGTTGTAAGAGATCTCGTCTCTCTCATACCCCTATTATACCCCTGTTACACGGGCACATTTAACTGCGGTTACGCTAAGCCACAGATAGCGCACAATACTTGCCGACAACATTCTGCGGCTATGCAGTCAAAGCTATGGGCGAACGTGCGCTTGAGCATCTTGAGCATCTATCGAAGCAGTGCGCGCGCGCTCTTCACTTCTTCTGAAATAGCTGTCAGAGAGAATAGTGTGGTATCTGTGGTGCCGCGCAACAGCAGTTAAGCTGAGTTAACCGCGGTTAATACCCCTGTTACACGGGCACACTTAACCGCGGTTAACTCAGCTTTAACTGCGGTTACGTGGCAGCACCAATGCCGCACTATACCCTCGGACAGCTATTTCAAAAGAAGTGAAGAGAGCGCGTGCACTGCTTTGATGGGTGCTCAAGATGCTCAAGCGCACGTTCGCCCTTAGTTCTGTCTGCATCGCCGCAGAATGTTGTCGGCAAGTATTGTGCGCTAATTGTGGTTTAGCGTAACTGCAGTTAAGTGTGCCCGTGTAACAGCGGTATAAGTGTGCCCGTGTAACAGGGGTATTACACGGGCACCCTTAACCGCGGTTAACTCAGCTTTAACTGCGGTTACGTGGCAGCACAGATGCCGCACTATACCCTCGGACAGCTATTTCAAAAGAAGTGAAGAGAGCGCGTGCACTGCCTTGATGGGTGCTCAAGATGCTCAAGCGCACGTTCGCCCATAGCTCTGCCTGCATCGCCGCAGAATGTTGTCGGCAAGTATTGTGCGCTAATTGTGATTTAGCGTAACTGCAGTTAAGTGTGCCCGTGTAACAGCGGTATCAGTCGTACTCGGTCGCAAGAGTGTGAACGGGCCTTAACTGTTTGCTTTTAGCAGAGGTCTTGACACAGACAAAAAGAGAGTGGGGGGGGGGGGGGGGGGGGGTGTCGCCGAACCCCCCCCCCCCGAAATAAAATCCTGGCTACGCCACTGATGTTAGGCACCACTGAGCTACATTTTAAGCCTGTTTACAAATAGTCAGGAGGGCCTTTTTCTACCTGCCTAGTAAGGGGTCTTTCTCTAACCTTTCAACCTGGGCCTCCGCACCGCACTGCTTAGCCTGGAATTAGCCGTCGCCCCTGCGCCTCCCTGAAATGCCGCGTAGTCCGCTGCTTCCAGTGCAGCTTTTGTTCCAGGGTCCCGCTCGCAAGCCCTCCGGTCTTGAGTACGGGTGGCGCTTGGTGAGAGCGGCCGGTTCCCCTTGATTGCCGCCTCTCTTCGAAGACTTTTCCGCAGGCTCCCGCTCGACTTCGTCACTTGACTCCGCGCGCTAGAGTCATTCTTTGCTTTCACTAGCTTCCTCCTGGATGCCGTCTCTCGGTGCCCCGTCGGCTTCACACTCGGAGATGACGCTTTCTTGGTCTCGAAGCTGTTGCTCTTTCGTAGCGAGGACCCTTCTCTTGGTGTCCTGGCCCACGCGTGTGAGTCGGCTCTCGCCGTCCTTTTCTTGGATCTCACCTTTAGATGCACGTGCGGCAGGACGATCGACGGACCATCACAGGACTCCGGGTCTCTGCCCCCGTTCTCGTGCGTCGCTGGCTGGCTGGCGGGGGAATCTGCCTTGCTGCCGCCAGCTCTGACCTTTACCGGCTTTCCCTGGATGACGCCGTCCTTGTCGCCGCCCCCTTGGGGGGTTGTGTGTGTGTTTATACAGCCTAGAACTTGGTCTGCCTCACAGGGGCGACGAGTCTCCCAGCTGTAGATGAGAAATTTAGCCAGTGAGGTACAAACCGCTAGCCTGGGGTCTTTAACGTGCGTCACGCAGTAGTGATACACGACCGCACGCCGGTACGATGCTCATCCAGATCGAAACGGGCAGGGGTGGGGCTCGAACCCAGGATCCCTGGGTTCTGCAGCGCGAGCTTTCGCTCCACGTGCTCCGAGCTGGTGTGCGCTAGACCACTCGGCCACCGATCCCCCCGCCGCCCCCTTGCTCGCTGCGGGCTCCAACTTTGCGCCTCTGTCCATCGAGTGCTGCTTTCCGGGACGTCTCTCGCTCGGGCGGCCCGATTGTTCTCTTCTCGTCCTTGTTGTCCGAAGCGATTCCCAGAGCCTCCGGCAAGTCCGCACTACTCGACGACCTTGACCAGCCGATGTGCCTCTTCTTGGGCGATCGCGTCTTGCCGACACGCGACAAACCGCACTTGCGCGGCAGCTTTGCAGCCGGGTCCTGGTTCCCCGGACCGTCCCCTTCAATGTGGAGCCCGTCTTCCTTTAACTTGCGGGACTTTGGCATGGCAGCATCCCTCTCTGTCGAGGTCTTCTTGTAGGCCACGCCCTCTTCCCTCTCTGGGGCCTCTTCCTCGGACTCGAGCAGCGGGATCGTCTATCCCAAGCAGCAGACCCCGGCCTGTGTTTGATCCTCGTCGACCACGTACACCTTCGCGGTGAATACGTCCACATTTTCGGTCGAAATGCCCTGCGGAGCCTTCCCCCTCGACGTCTCGAGGCTTAGTTTCTCACTGTCCGGGGCCCGCAAAAGCTCTAACATTTCTTCCAGCTTACGAATTTCGGCCTCAGCTTTTGTTCGGTACGCGAAAAACTTATCTGCTCGTTCTTGGGATTCCCATTTTCCTTTAACCATTTCTCTCGTCCAGTCTTGGACAGATACCAACTCCCGCTTAGCATCCACTAGATGAGTCAGTAACCACTCCTTCAGGCTAGCTTCATCGAGACCTAAATCTTGCCCTAAGGCCACTAGCTTCTTAAGCTTCATATTTTGGTCGCGCGGCCCCTTCTAGTTCCCGTTACCGTAGGATACTTTTTCCATACTCGTTCCGCAAGCTAGGCTATGAGCTCCCGCAACGGCGTCAGCTACACAGCGCACTTCCTACGGCCCAGGCGACCTCAATCTCAGCCCCCGCTCCTCACGGACTGAGCCGTCACCGTGGTCAGCAGGTCCTGTCGCGGACGCCAGTTTGTCACAGGTTCGGAAAATGATCGCCATGCAAACAAAATTTATAATTTTGTTAGGACCGC